AAATTTAGAATGAAACTATAAAAATCTTAGAATCAAATCAAACTAAAGAAGTAATTTTATAACATAATCGCAAAATATTACTCATAACTTACTCGAATATTAAGCAATGTGCTATCATTTAACAAATAAAAATAATTTATATGATTATTTAAAACCTAATTCTACTACTATTCAATTAAACATAATTTACTATTTAATAAAGGTTCCCTTACTACGACATTAAATTACTAAATAATTATTTGGACAATGTTAGGTATTTTTTAAAAAATATTTGAATTTATTCTACTTATTGAGATTTCATTTACTACTCAATTAAACATCACTTACTACTCAATAAGACTTCACAACTACTCAATCAAAGTTCACTTACTACTCAACCACCGCTACTACTACTACCACCACCACTACCATTGCTACCGCTACCACCATCATCACCACTATGCTATTACTACCAGCACCACCACCACCACTACCACCAACTTCATCAACATTGTCATTGTTTCCATAAACATCACTAAAAATTTACTACTACTATCATTGTTGTCTCTACCACCACTGCCGCCAACACCACCAACATCAACGCTACCATGCCATTACTGTCACCACCATGCCACTGCTACCACTATCACTGTCTACCACCATGCCATTACCACCACCACCACCACCATCACCATCATATCACCACTACTACTTAATCAAATTTCATTTATTACTCAATCAAACGTGACTTACTACTCAATAAGACACCACTTAATTGGATTTAACCCACTACTTAATTAAATCATACTTACTACTCAATTAGATTATAATTACTATTTCATCAAATTTATCATTGTCCCAAAAATGTTGAAAAATACTCATTGAACTTCCACTTAGTATTTAATAAGTTTCCACTTATTACTTCATTAGACTCCACTTATTACTCAGTTTTGGTTTCACTTACTACTCAATGAGCTTCTACTTGCTATTTCACTATACTCCACTTACTACTTAATGAGTTTCCACTTACTATTTCAGTAGACTTTACTTATTATTCAATGAGTTTCCACTTACTATTTCATTACACTTCACTTACTACTCAATTTTGGTTTCACTTACTACTTCAATAGGCTATATTATCTACTTAATTTTGGTTTCACTTATTACTCAATGAGTTTCCACTTTTTATTTCACCACAGTTTACTTATTACTCAATGAGACTCTATTTACTACGAAATTAAATCCCGCTTACTACTCGTTAATTGTTTACTTATTACTCCATCAAATTTATTACTATCCAAGTAAACACTGCTTATTACTTAATGAGACTCAACTTACTACACAATCAAACTTCACTCAATTGGATTTGATTTACTGCTCATTTAAATCTCACTTAGTTGTATCATATTAAACCACACTTACTATTCAATCAAATTTCACTTACGACTCAATTAAATATGGCTTACTACTCAATAAGACACTACTTAATTGAATTTGACTTACTAGTTAATTAAATTTCACTTACTACTCAATGAAACTCTACTTACTATTTTATTAGACTTTGTGTACTACTTAATTAAACTCTATTTATTACTCAATAAGGCTTGATCTGCTGTTCAATTAAACCTTACTTACTACTCACTGACACTTAACTTACTCTACTAACTACTCAATTAAATTCATTCATTACTCAATCAAGCATGACTTACTCAATGAGACTCCACTTACTACTCTATTAAACTGGAGATATTACTTAATGAAACCTCATTTAGCACTTAGTGAGACTATACTTAATTACTACTCCATCGAACTTAACTTACTATTCAATCAAATATCACTTACCAGTCAATTATACTCCACTTACTATACTTACTATTCCATTAGAGTACTACTTAATCAAACGTTTCATACTCGACTTTCTACTTCATCAAACTTGATTTACTATTAAATAAAATCTCATTTAGAGAATGTCATACTAAGTGATAAGTCGTTTTAAAACAAATGATAAAATAATTTATAGCAAGTGATAAACAAGTTTAGAAATCTAGCCAACTTTAAAGAGTGTCATAATATGATCTCATTTATTACTGAATGAGATTCCACTTACTATTTCATTAAATTTGACTATAACTACTCAGTCAAACCTCATTTCCTACTTAAGGAGATTTCACTTATGACTTCATTAGACTTAACGTACTACCTAATTAAATTTCACTTATTACTCAATTAGACTTCACCTAAAACTCCATTAACCTTGACTTATTACTTAATTAAACATTTGACAACTAACAACCATTGAGTGCTAAGTAGAATTAGAACGAATAATAGAACTTGACTTATTACTTAATCAAATATCTGACTACTAACAACTATTGATTGATAATTAGAATTAGAAAAAATATTAAGTATTATATTTAAGAGTGATAAGTATTGTCATAATAAGTGATAAGTACTATCACAATTGTTGGTAAGCCGAAGCACATTTTGCATCACCATTGACAAATTGCGCTCTATGCTCAATCCTAAAATGGTTGTATATGTCCTTTTGTATGAACCCAACATTCTTATAACCACCAGCTTCTTCTACCATACAAAAAGCTATTACTTAATGAGATATTTCAATTTTCACATACTACTCTATTAGACTTTAGTTATTATTTATTGAATTTTCACTTACTACTCAATCAAACTACACTTACTACTTAATTAAACATGACTTATCAATCAATAATACACCACTTCAATAGACTTAAGTTAATAGTCAATGAAATTATACTTAAATAGAAAAATAGTAAATATAAACGTTACCAAACAGACCCTTAAATAGTAATTACTATTTTGAGGTGTTGTATGTAAATAATAATAATAATAATAATAACTACTATTTTAAATTAATGTTTTTAAAATTAAGTTTACATCAAAAACTACTTTTTCACAATAATGACTATTTAAAAAAAAATTAGTAAATTTTAATAAATTAATATTTACATATCATATTTTACTTTTTACAAATCATAACAAGACAAAATATAGAGGGAAAATAGTTAAATATGGTATGTCATTAATTTTATGTCTTTGAAATTAATTTAAAAGATAAAATATGGCACAATTTTCAAGAATTGAAGGTGACCTGTTAGCAGGTAATATTTTGAATAGTAAGGCTTCGTTTGGGAAGTGGATTGACTTTTTTGCTATTTAGCCTAGGCTAAAAAGTCTCATTTTGGTTAGACTTTTCGATTTTTTTTATTTTTGTGAGAGAAAAAGTTAAATGATTATGATTTGAATGTGACATTTTGTCTTATTGGCTTTAGCCTATTTTGTCTTTTTTGTGACTATTTTAGCCTTTTAACTCTTAAAACTAACATGTCAAATGAGAACTAAGTTTATTCATAACAAATAGTAAGTGATTGAATACCAAATAGTAAGTATATTTGTAGCAAATGATAAGTTGTCACTTTAACCCATTAATAGGAGGTTTTGAATAGAGAGAGATGCAGGGTGGAGGGTGGATTCTGATCGTCAATCGAAGGGGTCGGCAAGCAATCCAGAGGGGGGAAACAAGGGAGAGGTTGTTTACTTTGTTCGTGGATAACTTACAAAACATGATGGATCCTAAGGACTGTTTCAGTTTTTCACCAAATTTGGAGTAGTGAAAGATGTGTCCATTCCAAACAAGAGAAGGAAAACGTCAAACTCACAATTTGGTTTTGTCAAATTTGATTGTCTGGTTGCAGCAAGAATCGCAGTTCAAAAAACTCATGGGATTTGGATTGATGATAAAGCTTTAACAGTCAAAGATGCAGAGTATGGAAAAGACAACGTTGTGGTGAAAAATCCAATGCATGACTAGACAATTAAAAGCAGAGCACCTAGTGCTGGCGGAATGAATGATCAAGGCTCAGATGGTAAGTTGAGGTCATACACGGATATGGTGAAAAGGAAAGGAATCAGAGGCAAGCAGAATCATTAGCATTAAAGCCAAGAAGATTGGCAATGGGTGGTTTAACAAAAGTTTGGTCATTAGACTGAAACCAGAATTCGTTACTTTTAGTGTGAATGAGGAATTGGAAGCAAGAGAGATCAAGAATGTCTTGATTACAGAAGGAGGTGGCCGAACTGTTGTGCTAACTTTTAGTTCAAAAGAGGACAAGATTAAGCAGATGCTGATGATCAATGAATGGTTAAAAGAACGGTATGAGTTCATAACTGAGTGGAAACCAGGATGTATGGTTGCTCAAGAGAGATATGTGTGGCTCAATTGTCATGGCATACCTCTAAATCTTTGGGGTTGTGATACCATAACCAAGATTGGAAGCATTTGGGGGGATGTGGTGAATATTGAAGGCAACATAAGTAATCCAGTATCCTTTGCTTGCTGCAAAGTTCAAATTGCCACAAAATGTATGGAACCAATTAATCTGGTTCTTCATCTGGAGTGCAATGGCTACTCCTATCCAATAAGGGTGTTTAAGGCTATTGATCAAAGCTTCACAAATCTGGAAGAACAGAACAGTGTTAACCAGCATGTAGAGGATAAGGAAGAAGGTGGTAGAGACAATGACTCACTTAATGGCATGGAACATGGACATGATGTGTCATTGCCAGGAAACTCACATGGCAGAAGGAGAAGGTATGAGGTGGAAAAAGAGTAGTGCTGGAAAAGTAACACGGAAGTCGAAGAGACTAAGCGTGGAGAAGAAATTGCAATCAGGGGAAGATCATGCAGCTCATTGATTATGGTGGGAAATAACATCAACAGCTCCTTTATTGGGTGTCAGAGGGTAGATGATCACATTGTAATAAAGGGTTTTATGAAGAGTTTGAGTGGATCAGGTATGCTTGGGCCTGGTATAAATTTAGAAGTTAAGTTGGGCCAAGCCCATTCAAAGGAACAGCTGGCTGGGCCAATTTCTAGAGCTAGTAGATCAATTGAAGTAGGAGTTTTTGAATCCACAAGGCCTGCTGATTTGGGTTCTAGAGAAGAAGGACTGACCCAAGTTAAGTTATTGAGAGGAAGTGCTGGAGCCAGAAACTCTCCATCTAGTCCAAAGAAGAGTAAAGGGAAGAAGAAAATCAAGTATGGAAGAAGGTCTAACTCAAAATTGAAGGATGGTCCACTCTTTGATTTAGCCAACGGATATGGTCATAAAGGTGCTTCCTTTAGCAAATCCATCAAAAAAAGTGTGATTTTCAGAGTTGCAGCTGCAGCCCTTTCCCTCTCTGCATCAATTGTATGTGGGGCTGGTGGAGGTAGAAGTATTCTCAATGAAACTCAAGCAACAATGGAAATGGGGAAATTATTGGGTATTAATTATAAAGGAAATGAAAAGGAGGTGGCAAGGAGAATTGTTGAGATGGAACTGCAAGATAAGGATAAGGCAATAAGAAAGGTTGTTGATGCTGTGTAAATGGCACACAGTTGGGGTCTCTCGAGTGTATTATTATTGGTTATTATGAAGATACTATCTTGGAATATTAGAGGTTTGGGAAGGCAAGAGAAAAGAAGGATGATCAAAAAGATAATCAGAGAGAGGAAAATTGATATTGCTTTATTTCAGGAGACTAAGAAGGCAATTGAATCTAATGATATGGTTCGTTCATTATGGACTAGAGATAAAATGGAATACATGGTAGTTAATTCAGATGGGCTTGCAGGGGGTCTCTTGTGCATATGGGACCCTGGGGTTTTTCAAGTTGTTGATTGTTGTAGCAGTAGAAGCTTTATCCTGCTATCAGGTACTCTCTTCTATGCCTTTGAGTGTGTAATTATAAATATTTATGCACCAAATGATGTGGGGGTTAGAGGTAAGTTTTAGGACAACCTGATAATGTTAAGAAAGGATTTTCCTAAACCATGGTGTTTATGAGGGGATTTCAATGAAATTAGAAACATGGGTGAAAGAAAAGGGTGTTCTAGGAGGGACAGAGGTATGAGAGATTTAAATAATTTCATTGATAGATGTGAGGTTACAGATCTAAATTTGCTAGGAAGAAAGTTCACTTGGAGTAATGGCCAGGATGGTGGAAGATGGAATAGGATTGATAGGTCTATGGTTCACCCAGAATGGCTGGAGCATTTTAAAGTAAAATTGTAGGGCTTACCTACTATAATCTCTGAGCATTGCCTATTATTACTGATGGAGGATGAGAGGGATTGGGGTCCTATGCCTTTTAGATTTATCAATGCGTGGACTATGCACCCAGATTTCTCTCCTTTCTTGAAGAAAGTGTGGAATGAAACAAATATGGAGGGTTGGGCTGGATACAAGCTACAAGTTCAGCTGAAATCTCTAAAGCTAGCTCTTAAGTAGTGGAATTTGGAAGTGTTTGGGAATGTGAATACAAAGTTGAAACAAGCTGAGGTTGAGTTGTATGCTTTTGATTTGGACGCTGAAATCAGAGAGCTAGATAAAGATGAAAAAAGGAGGAAGGCAGTAGTGAAGAAGGAAATTTGGAAGTTAAGCAGAATAGTGGATAGGCTTTGGCTACAAAAATCTAGGTTTAACTGGTTCTTGAATGGGGACAAAAACACTAGATTTTTCCGTATCATGGCTAGTTGCAGGCAGAATAAGAACACGATAAGTTCGTTCATTGATAATGAAGAGGTAGTTGATGATCCTTTAAGGGTGAGGCAAAAAGTGAAATTACATTTTGTCAAGTAAATTTCTGAATCATGGAAATGCAGACCTACACTAGGTGGAGATTTCAAACTTGTTAGTCATAACCCTATGTTTGATGGTTTGGAGGCAGAATTTATAGAACTTGAGATCCTATCAGCCATCAAAGAGTGTGATGGCAACAAAGCTCTAGGTCCATATGGCTTTAATTTATTCTTTTTTCAGAAGTCTTGGAAACTTATGAGGGGTGATGTGGTTCAATTTATGCAGGACTTTCATAGAAATGGTTGTCTGGTAAAAGGCATCAATAGCTCTTTCATAACTTTGATTCCAAAAAAGGAGAACTCTGTGGATCTAGCAGATTTTAGACACATAAGTTTGGTGGGCTCACTGTATAAGATTCTAGCTAAGGCACTTACTAATAGATTGAAGGCTGTCTTACCTGAAATTATCAATGAGGCACAGTCAGCATTCTTAGGTGGTAGAAATACACTTAATGGAGTTTTGATTGCCAATGAGGTAGTGGATTCTTGGAAGAAATCAAGGAAGATGGGGTTAATCATCAAACTGGACTTTTAGAAAGCCTATAATGCTGTTGTAGACATCCCCGAATGTCCCATGAGGGAATCCCCGGTTTTGTTCATTGGGCTCACTACAGTTCGGACTCAATGTTGTCATGGTTCTTAATCTAATCTCACAATGTGCAATGTGAGATTGATAAATCACCAAAGAGTCCAAATCCGACAAATCGTTTTGGAAAACAGATTTTTGTAAAGAAGTGCCAAACATGGACTGCTTTGCCAGATACAGAGTCGCCACCTAAATATTTATTTTGGGAAAATTTAGGAAACCCTGACTCATTGCCTAAGGCCACGTGTCCGTCATCACCAAAGTTGCCTCGGCTCGAGAACTTGGGTACGATTGGGGAAGGTCAGCTATGAGCACCCCCTCTCGCCCGATCAAAGATCGGCCTCTACTAACCATGATATCGAGTTTTGAAAACGTTATGTGGTCTTATTCCGGTTATTAGCCTAGATTTACTATGTGATTCACACAGCATACAAGTATAGACTGGGTCGCCTGAATTGGAATAAAACATTTCATGTTTGTTTTGAAAATAGTTTGCTACTCGTAAGTAGGCTAAAATGCAGATTTTGCCACCGTCGGGTGGGCTTAGAAAAATATGGTTTTGCCACTATTTAGTGGGCTTAAAACTCACAGTCAATGCATTTTTCCCAATTCAGATAATCCAACCTTCACCCACAGGCATTCAGGCAGATATATCACATAAGCACATAGCCTCATGGTAAGCATACTATCATGGCAACACTCACACACATACAAGGATGCTAAAGCATAAATGCTTACCGAGTACTCCAAGCCAAAACAAAAACTAGTTAGTAATCAAATGCATAATCCTAGTTCATGTTAAGATGACTAATGCAACACATGCAAGATGCAACTACAATAGGCTCGGCTATTCTAAGATGGCATATGATGATGCTATAGCTAACACGCATTCAACTTAGAATTGAAATACAAATGCAGTTAGTATGATGCGCCGAGCCCGGTGCATGCAATACAGGTGAATGATGCAAACATGCAAGCATAAGTATGCTAATTGAAACATGCCCTAATCTAACCATCGTAAGCTGGCAAATAAAAAGGGAGAAAGAAGAGGGGGTTGGAAGACATGCACACACGCACCCACACTTATTACAAATTCGCCCTCGCTCGGAGGGACAAAAAGAATAATACACTTTAATTAACTTACAAGCTAATTAAATAATTTACAGACCATCTAATTAATTAACAAATCAATTAGGCTAAGGAAAGCATTAAAAGGCCTCAGGAAGAGGGATGCACACGTGCCCCGGATTGGCTTCGCCCGAAAATCCAATGCCATGCGCAAGCTGCCTCTGTTTTCCCTACTCTGCTCCTCTGAAAATGGCACAATTCCCAATGTACACCTCATGAACACTGGGGAATGACACCGGCCATGAGGAATGGTCACCGGCCAAAGGGAAGTGGTCATCGACCATCTATGGAGCTATCGGCTATCCATAATTGGTCGATCGGCACTTAATGTAGTCGACCGGCCAAAGCTTCCTGCAAAACCTGTTTGGACAGCAGCAGAGGACAAAACAAGGCATGGCAATGCATTTCAAGCAAATGTGTGCACCAATACACCCCTTATCATGTTTATGACTCAAAGGGGGATGGTACTCGATTCTTGGACCACCAATTGCGCATTTCAATGCGTGATGGCCCAAGAAACCAAGTGTGCATTTTGATTTCAAATGACATGCAAGCCAAATAAACACATAAAGCCCAACCTCTATCATACTCAATTCAAGAGACAAAGCATGCATACTCAATGCAATGTAACCTAAGCATGCTAGCTAAATGTGCAATAAGAGCATGCAAGACATGATGCAACCAAAGCATGCAAACATGAAGCAATGTAACAACATTTTAGCAACATGCAAAAGATGAACTTAAACTAATATGGACAAGCCTCATCCATGTCTAAATCAGTGGCCATATGAGATGAGAACAAGGCCCAAGATTCATGCAAACATGCACAATGCAAGGGCTCCAAGCCTACGGCACAAAATGCAACTTTCTAAGAGCAATGCAAGGATGAAACATGGCATAAAATGGCATACATTTCAGCTCTGAAATGGCATACTAAATGATTCCAAAATGACTCCGAAGCATGCAAACACTCATGATATGCATGGTAGGGGCCTCAAAGCCCAAGACTAGCCTAAGCATTTACACTATAGCTATACAAAGCATGAGTGATATGGCCATGGCAGCCCAAAAAAGTCCTAGGATAGCCCAAAATAAGCATAAAATCATGTTAGAGTAAAGCCAAAATATGCTAGGATGATGAGTCAAAACATTATGCACAAGAGGCTAGTAAACAAGATTTGTTCTACACCTATATGGAGCATGCAAAGGATGACCAAACCAACTATGGATAGGGTCACGATATGGCAAACCATTACCAAAAACATACTGAAATGTAAACCAAACAAGCTAACAAGACATGACAAAGCATGAAGCATGTGAAGCTAGTTTAGGGGATTTACACTACAAGTGTATGAAGCATTTAAGGGGTCACTAAACCAGCCCAAAACAGATTCATGACAAGCCAAAATATGACCAAATACCCACTGAAATGTATCCAATACATGTAAAAATGAGGCGCTACTTTGAAAAGCTATGAAGGGGGTTGCTCTACACATGCAAGAGGCAAGCCTTAAATGACAAAAACAGCTCTGGAAAGAGTCCAAGAAGGCCCTAAAACTCACTGAAAAATGCCTGAACCAAGCTCAAGAAGTGTGCAAATATGGGCTCCTTTGTAAGGCCAAAAACGCAAGTAAACAAGACAATAAGGAGAGGGGATGGCCCTCTCCTTCTTAGGACCTCAAAACACCATCCCCACAAGGTGGTCCCGAAACTGACAAAAAAAGGCACAAAAATGAGGCCAAACAAGGCCTAAGAGGGGGTAGACAACCCCAAACATGAAAGTGGTCTTAAACAAACTTCAAAAGGAGCTCAAAATAAGACTTTTTTCAGTTTATGACAAAGCCCTAAAATGCTTGCAAGTATGGCTAAAAGATGAAGCAAAATAAAGACCAAAAGATGGTAAAGTTTGCTCACCTTTGTAGCTCAGCAAAACAACCACTTCTCTGGACCAAAACCAGCTCCTTAAGCCCTCTCAAGACCTTACAAGAACCTTAGGTTGATAGTGGAGGGGTTAGGCTATGAGGTGGTGTGCAAAGGGCCAAGAATCTCACTCTTTCTAAGCCTAAGTGTAGAGATACAAAGAGAGATATATGTATGGAGCCTTAGACAAATTTTTTTGAAACCCTTGCAATGGAAGAAGAGCTCTTCTTTTATAGAGGAACAAAGGTCCAAGCTTCTTTTAGAAGCTTGAAGCAAAAGGGCCAAGCTTCTTGAGGAAGCTAGAGCAAAGGGGTCAAGCTTCCTCAAGAAGCTAAGAAAGGGTCAAGCTTCTCTTAGAAGCTTGGAGCAAAGAGGCCAAGCTTCTTGGAGAAGCTAGGCAAAGGGTTCAAGCTTCTTGGAGAAGCTAAAACAAAGGGTTCAAGCTTCTTGGAGAAGCTAGAACAAAGGTTCAAAAGGTTCAAGCTTCCTCAAGAAGCTAGAACCAAGGGTTCGAAAGGTTCAAGCTTCCTCAAGAAGCTAAAACCAAGGTTCAAAAGGTTCAAGATTCCTCAAGAAGCTAAAACCAAGGTTTAAAAGGTTCAAACCTCCCCAAGAAAAGGTCTCGGCCAGAAAAAGTGGCCGATTGACTGATGATCCTTTAAGGGTGAGGCAAAAAGTGAAATTACATTTTGTCAAGTAAATTTCTGAATCATGGAAATGCAGACCTACACTGGGTGGAGATTTCAAACTTGTTAGTCATAACCCTATGTTTGATGGTTTGGAGGCAGAATTTATAGAACTTGAGATCCTATCAGCCATCAAAGAGTGTGATGGCAACAAAGCTCTAGGTCCATATGGCTTTAATTTATTCTTTTTTCAGAAGTCTTGGAAACTTATGAGGGGTGATGTGGTTCAATTTATGCAGGACTTTCATAGAAATGGTTGTCTGGTAAAAGGCATCAATAGCTCTTTCATAACTTTGATTCCAAAAAAGGAGAACTCTGTGGATCTAGCAGATTTTAGACAAATAAGTTTGGTGGGCTCACTGTATAAGATTCTAGCTAAGGTACCTACTAATAGATTGAAGGCTGTCTTACCTGAAATTATCAATGAGGCACAGTCAGCATTCTTAGGTGGTAAAAATATACTTAATAGAGTTTTGATTGCCAATGAGGTAGTGGATTGTTGGAAGAAATCAAGGAAGATGGGGTTAATCATTAAACTGGACTTTTAGAAAGCCTATGATGCTGTCAATTGGGAATTTATATTCTCTATGCTTTCAAGTTTTGGATTTGGGCACAAATGGATCTCTTGGATTAAAGAGTGTGTGACCTATGTGAAATTATCTATACTTGTCAATGGTTCCCCAATTGAGGAGTTCTGTCCACAGAGAAGGTTAAGGCAAGGTAACCCCTTGTCCCCTTTCCTATTGAATATAGTGGCTAAAGGATTGAACATCTTGTTATCAAGGGCTCTCCATATGGGTCTGATTAAAGGTGTAAAGGTTGGATCCAATGGTGTTCTAATTTCTCACTTACAATTTGCGAATGATTCAATTCTATTTTGTGAAGCTGAAGAGAATGAAGTGGTGAACCTAAAGAGAATTCTGAGGTGCTTGAGATATTATCTGGGCTGAAAATTAATTATCACAAGAGTATGGTGTGTGGTGTTGGTGTACGTAATGACAATCTAGCAAACTTTGCTTCTCTGTTAAATTGCACTGTCCAAAATTTGCCCATCAAGTATCTTGGGCTACCTCTTGGGGCCAATCCTACAAGAAAAGCAACATGGCAACCTGTTTTGGAGAAGGTTAGATCCAGACTTGCAGGATGGAAGAGGAAGCTCCTATCATTTGCAACTAGGCTTACATTGATCAAAGCAGTTGTGTTTAGCCTACCTATGTACTATCTGTCAGTGTTTAGAATACCAGAGAGAGTAGCTAAGGAGATTGAAAGGCTTCAAGCATCTTTCTTATGGAGTGGTTCTGATCTGAAAAAGAAAATTCATATGGTGAAATGGGAGGAGATCACAAAAAGGGTTGATCAAGGTGGGTTGGGGATTAGGAGAATTAGGGAGGTGAACACTTGTTTACTCATCAAATGGTGGTGGAGATTTAGTCTTGAAGCAGGTTCTCTTTGGAAGAGAGTGCTTTGTAGTAAATATAGAATTGGGTTTGACAAATGGTGTCCTAATTTTAATCTCACCAGTAGATATTCTAGCATTTGGAAGGACATATTTGCCATTGCTTATCAGAGATGGGACTTGGTTGAGTTTTTTTAGCAGAATTTTCAGATCCAAGTTGGGGATGGATCTAGAACCAAATTCTGGTATGATAAGGGGTGTGGGAATGTATGTCTCGAGAGAGAATTTTCTGGTTTGTTCAGCCTCGCTCAAACTAAGGAAGGCTCTATTAAGCATTACTTTGATTTGAAAGGAAGTTCAATAGAATGGGTGATACCTTTCAGAAGGGCTTTATATGAGTGGGAGGAGTCGGAAGCATCAAGATTGCTTAATTTACTTGCAGCAACTCCTTCCCTCAAACCTGGTCTTGCTGAGTAGTGTTTTCCACTTCTTCTGTGTATAAGTTTTGTTCTGATTATTTGGTTCTTTAGTTTGGGGTTGCAAGTTGGTGTGGTTCAAGCCTATTCCACCCAAAGTCCAATTCTTTGGATGGTTAGCTTGGAAGAATAAAATCAAATCTGCTAAGTTTATGCAGAAAATTGGGGTCTTGAGTAGCAATTCAGATATTAATTGCATTCTTTGCAAAGCTGAGCCTGAGTCTGCTCGCCATGTCCTCCTCCTATGCCCTTTTTCTTGGCATATATGGGCTGCTATGTTAAAGTGGTGGGGGTTTTATGGGCATTGTCAGATGTAGTGGAAAAGGTGCTTCTCTGGTGGAATGGAGCCAAAGTTAAGAAATCAGAGAAAGTGATATGGAAAAGTATATCTCTAGCAGTGTTGTGGTCTATTTGGAAGCTCAGAAATGAGTGTAAATTCAAGAACTCAAATCTAACCTTGATAAAGTTATTGAGTTGGTCAAGACTAGAGTTGCTATTTGGGCGAGGTCATCATCTAAATTAGCCCAGTTTTTTGTTAATGATTTTATTTTTAACATGAATCAAATTAGAGTTTGTATTTGTGGAAATGTAAATGTGTGAACTCTGGTGAGCAGTGGGGTCTTGACTGTCTCAAGTCTATGGAACATTGGGATACTGCTACTGATCTGTTTGCGATTGTTGTTCTATTCAGCTGGTGTATTGCTTATTGCTACTACAGGTTAGGGTGGTATGGCTTGGGAGGCCTGCTAAAGTTCAATGATGTTCTGAGTTTGTTTACTGCTTTATGCCGCTATCTTGTCCTACTATTTGCTGCTGATGTATATTGTGGTTCTAAGGCATACTGCTATTTGGCTTGCTGATGTATGAGATTGTTCTGGTCTGTGCAGATACTCTGAGGTTGTCTATAGTCGCAAATTGCTTTGCTGTTGTTGGAAGCTCTTTGGTTGGGAGCTGGTGATGAATTAGAAATGATTGGGCTCAAGTCTGGTGGCATGTAACAGATGTTAGGTGTAGAGGGTTAATATGGGCTGTTAATGGTTCATCAGTCAGATGATGTGCTCAGCAAAGCTTCTGGTTGTTATGTTTAGCTGATTGGCTTAAAGATTGGATGCTGCTATATTCTGTGTTGTTGGTGTTGTGTGATGCTATTGATGTATAAGGTAGAGATGCTGTTATGAGCTGTTGATATAAGGCTACTCCTGGTCGTGCTGTTATTGGTGCTTTTGTTCTGTTTTTTGTTCTTTCTTTTGTTGGTTGCTTTTGATTGGTTTCTCACCAATCTTTTGTCAAGTTCTTGCAAATGATTTTGTTTCCTTTGCGATGCCAACCTAGTTGGGATTATTGAGGTTAGCTTTGATGCTCAGTGCACTTTTCTACTTTGTTGATGTATTTTTGCATGAACTGTGCTCTTTTCATCAATAAAGCTTTATTTTTGCTAATCAAAAAAAAAAACAAGTTAGCATCATTTTTTTTTTAAATTTCAAAATTAACCAAAACTACTTTACTTTTTGAAAAACCACCTTACTTTTTCTACATAATTTTACCTTTCATTCATCCAATGACTAACATTTATCTTATTTAAATCTAATGATCTATATTTTTTTATGTACCATACGTAAAATCTAGTTTCATGTATGGTAGAATTTTCAATAAAAGTGATACTCCTTTCTGTCCCAAAACTAATCGTCTTTTTTTGGAAATTCAACTTTTTTTTTATTGTACAATTATTGCACTTTAAAAATATTCATTGTGTTTAGTTTCATTTTTCTAAATTTAGTTTTCTGAAAATTGAGTTTTTTGTTTTTCGTGTTTTTTTGTTATTAGTGAATATTTTTAAAATGTTAAGCAATTTTTTGACCTTTTTAAGTGTATCCTACTTAGATGTATTTAAATAGTAAAATATTTGTGAAAAAATATTTGAAAAAATATTTTTTAAAAATAATAAATACATACAAAAAATGTATTAAATTCTCATATATTTTTTGTATTTTTTGTATTTAGTGAATTTTTTAAAGATTTTTTTCGCAAATATTATACTTTTTAAGTGTATTTATGTTAGGTGTGTCTAAAAATTAAAAAAGTTGCTTAAAATATTTTTAAAAATTAGTGAAAATAAAAAAATATGGAAAATGAGAAAGTAAAATTTTCTGAAAAATGAATTCTGAAAACTGAAACCAAACAAAGTGATTATTTTTTTAAAATTACCCTTTGATAGTATATTTTTGAAAAAATATCAAAATAATTATGCTTTTTATGTTGTTAATGAATATAAAATAAGGATAAATAAGATATTTATATTATTTTAATCCTTTACTTTAAAAATAAGCTAATATTTTAAAAAAATAAAAAAATAGAATAAAAAATTAATATTTTAGGACAAAAAAGTCCTAAAAGTCAATAATATTTACCAATAGTAATGAGTCCAATCAACTCTCCCAAAACAAGAGGCTCCAACATTCTCCCCTCTCTAAAACGGTATATTCTCTCTCTTCGTTTTTCTAAATCCTTCTCTTTTTATTACTGGTGGGTGTTTATGGTTGATTATTTTAGTAGTTTTATTATTTTTAATTTTTAATAAATATTTTTAATCAAAATTTATATTTTTGAGTTTAACTCGGCTAAACGGGTTGCAAAAAGTTTAAAAAAAATCTAAAAAGTTTTGAAAAAATTTAGAAAGGACAAAACAGAATAAAAATATTCGGCTTTTTTATTATTTTTCTAATCCATAGTGAACTTTTTTTTTTATTTTGAATTTAATTTTTTCGATTGATTTATTCAAGACAGACAAAGCACTAAATAATTGACATAATTTTAGCAGAAAACATTCGCCATAAGCCAAAATCATATATATATGTTATATATATATATTTCAAAAAATATGTAATTTTTAGTTTATATGTCAAACAAACCCTAGAGCTAACTACTGTAGTACCAATTGAGCACGCTTTTTTGGCTCCCTAAAAGTTCTAATCTTAGGGGTCACCACTTGCATGTTAGCTGGGACTTTTTTTATTTTATCTATTTCTGGATATGTGTTATTATTTTTATGCTTTTTATTTTTGGACTTTTATTTATCAAAGATTTTGTATGTATTTCTACTTTATGTGTATAAGAAAAAAATAGTCTTAAAATAAATTTAAAATATTATTATGAAAAATAAGAAAGATATATTTATTAACTTATTTTCAAACTAATACAATTAGAATCTATAAGATTAGACCTTAAGAGCAATATCAAACAACTCCCTATGCCTAAATGTTTAATACTATTTTAAAAAAAACCTTTAAACTCAGTCTCACAACAACCGGCCTCTAAGAGACTTAATTTTTTGATTTAAAAAAAAGAGATTCAGTTTAAATGACTTGATTGGAGTCCTACACCTTTGAAAACATAAAATTAATTTTCGTTTCTTCTCTTTTTTTACTTTTAACATGTAAACTGTTCATTATCAATTTTTTTTTAAAGTTAAATTTAGGTTGAAATAAATATATAAATAATATTTATTAATAAGAAAAAATATAGAAACGATCTATTGAAGAAGAAAGTACTTGAAAAAATAATTATCTTAAATTAAAAATACTACTTTACATAAATTGTTGAAGAAAAAGTAAAAATTATTGCTGGAGATGTGGCTATTTTCCCAAATAAAAAAAAACTTCCCCATAAAAAAAAAAAAAAAGGGGCTGCACAAAAACCCCCCACCCCTCCTTTCCCATCCCCATAAATAACAAAAAATGCTTTAGAGCTCTAATATATAGAGCTTCTAATAGGCTCCTAATGCGAAGGTGGGATCCACTCCTGATGTGATGGTTTGGTCTTGTTTTTGTTTTTTTTTTTTTTTTTTTACTTTGAACCCATCATTATGAGCTCAACATTAGAGCCTCTAAATTTTATGAGCTCTCTAGCATTTTCCCCGGTAAATAAGCTTGCAAAACACACACCTCTTTCCCATTCCTAGGAACTAGTCATCACCGATAATTTATAATATTTATATTTATTATTTTAATTTTTTAATTATATAAATTATATTTTATAAAGATATTTTTTATAAAAATAATTTTAAATAATTTTGTCTACTAATCAGTAATTATATATTGGGAAATTAAAAAAGTATGTAAAATATGCACGGCGTGTATCTATAATTTTTTTGTTAGAGGATTTAGAATACTGATCGGGGATTTTAAATAAATTGATCAAGAATTTTGATCAAATTATAAAATGCGACAGTGGAAAGACATGTAGATGAAAAAAGTTAATTAAATGTTGACTAGGGGATTTTGACCAAATCGATAAATGGTTGAGTTTTTTTTTTTTTTCTAAATAAAATTATTATTTAACAAGAAATGAATGGACTTGTATGCTGTGCAGTTGAACTATACCGGACTGTATCTATAATATTATTTGTATGAGGGGATTTTAATATACTTATCTTATTCATATGGGTTTTGACAAACAATAAAGCAGACATGTGGAGACAGTAAATTGAAAAAAAAATATTCAATATAATGCTGATCAGAGTGGATTTTGACCAAATCAATAAATGCGAGGTGTTTTTTATTTTAAAATTAAAAATTCAGAAAATTAAGGTTGGAGATTGGCAGCTCCTAATAAGGCTTGGATTAGAAACCCCATTTGCCTTATATATTTTATTAGTTTGTTTTAGATTTTTTTAATATATAAAATTAGTGTTTTCTAAATTTTTTTAATATACAATAAATATATTTGAATCTAAATTTTGAATAGTGCTACGGATCTAACGCATAATAAATAGAATATTGAGGAGAAAGTTGCGGAGAGAGCGACCTGCACTAACTATACATGGATTGTATCTATAATTATTTGTATGATTGAGATTTTAATGTCTGATTAGAGAAATTGACCTCACCCTAAATCAATAAATGCAGGCATGGTAGTGACTGTATCTTTAAAAATATATGTGGTCTTTGAAGAGAGAATATTTGTTGAATAATGGGACTGATATGAATTTTGATTCAAATCAATTAAATGCTGAGATTTATTTTAAATAAAAAAATAAAAAATTTAGAAAATTCAAATTGCATATAGATATGAAACTTTCACAAGTCTTGGTGTGTGTTTAAAAAACCTTATTTTTAACTTTAATATATAGCTCTCATGAATAAACAATACATTTAATATTTTGATCTATTTTATTATCCCTGGAGTTGGTGCTCATGTTTTTGGATTGATATCTTAAAGTTAAGGTGTGCACTTTTTATCTTTTAGATTTTAAAAATTGAGGAGGTTCTGTAATAATATTGATTAGTGTTGGCTTTGTTTAAATTGTTTGATTAATCCTTTTGACTCTCTTCTTATATATCAATTCATACATGCTTGTTACATATAACAATTGTTTTATAGTTGAAAATTTGATTTGTAGTGGAATAAAATTAGATTTGGAGGTTGTGACAACCGTAATTGTTGACTTTTTGGTGTGATAGTATTAACTTTTTAACTTTTGAAATACATAATTTTTTTGCTTTTTAACTTTTTTATCAGAGAGATGAATACCAAACTTGACTTGTAATGTAGATCACTATAGTGTTCATATATTGCAATAATAAATCAAAAAATAATATCCATTATAAATTATAAAATTTGAAATTTAAATCTACTATTTATAAATTAAATAAAATGAAGGCTATTGTGTAAGGATACAAGATATCAACACAATTACTAAAATTACTCAATCATCTATTGAGATCCAAGGAATTATATAAAGTAATACTTAACTAGAGCATAAAACATCTATCCGTAGTCACTGGAATATTCTACAGCACAAAACACAGCTTAAAATGAGATATGGACAACCAATTCTCTCCTACTATTCTTCTTCTTCTTTCTCTTCGTTTTCCTCCAGTTTGGTGTTCTTCATCAATTGTGTGATAAAAATTAAACATTAATATTTTAAAAAAATTCCCAATATATAAAAAATAAAAAAATAAAAAAATTTCTAATCCCCTCACTATTTTTCTAATACCATCTCTACCTCCTCACTATGAATCCCCCTTCCAAGGCCTTTACTAATATCAAGGTATTAGTAGTCCCCTCCCCATCTCTCAAAACAAACACCCCATATAGTAGTCCCACCTCACTATCAATTCCAATCCCCTTTCTATAACCCCAAACAAACAGGGCCTAAAGGTCTAATCTTAGGGGTCACCACTTGTGTAGCGGGACTTTTTTATTTTATTTTTCTGGATATGTGGTTATTATTTATGCTTTTTATTTTGGACTTTTATTATCAAAGTTTTGTATGTAATTTCTACTAATAGTGTATAAGAAAAAATAGCTTAAATAAATTAAAATAATTATTATGAAAAAATAAGAAAAGAATATTTTAACTTATTTCAACTAATACAATTTAGAATCTAATAATTAGACCTTAAGAGCAAATCAAACAACTCCCCTATCCTAAATGTTTAATTACTAATTTAAAAAAACCTTCAAACTCATCTCCAACAACAGCCCCTCTAAAGAGACTTAATTTTTTTGATTAAAAAAAGAGACTAGAATTGGCAAGTGTTAAAATGACTGTATATTTGGAGAGTCACTAGTCATCCTTTGAAAACATAAAATTAATTTCTTTCTTCTCTTTTTTACTTTTAAACGTAACTGTCATATCAATTTTTTTTTAAAAGTTAAATTTAGTTGAAAAATAAATATAAAATAATATTTATATGAAATAAACAAAGAATATAGACGATTATTGAAGAAAGTACTTGAAAAAATGATTTTCTAAAATTAAAAATACTCTTTACATAAATTTTGAAGAAAAAGTAATAAATTATGGCTGGAGAGGTGCTCAAAGTCCCATAAATAAGCTGCAACAACACACACACCCTCTTTCCTATCACTAGGAATAAACAATAAATTCAATTATTTGGTCTATTTTTATACTGAATGTAGATCACAATATAATATTTGAATTTAAATCCTACACTATATAAAATTATAAATGAATAATGTTAAGAAATCCAAACATTTAAAATCCCTCACATTTTTCATTATAAATAAACTTACTACCAAACTTCCATCCATGCCTGGAACAAACAAAACACAAGCTAAAATGAGATATGGACACACCACTTCTCTCGTCTTCTTCTTCTTCTTCTTTTTCCTCCAGTTGGTGTTCTCTGAATTGTCTCCAAACCAGAGAACCACCATGAACCAGCTCTTGTTGGGTATACCTCTTTATTGGAGTGTGGTACCCAATTGATTTTAGAAAAAGAGTTTAATTTGGTTTAATATTAATTATAATATAATTTTATATATTATATTTAATTTGTGGAGACCCAATCAAATTTGGAAACAACTAAGGTTTGATAATAAATCCTAGATTCACAATATTTTAGGATTTTGTTTTTTTTGCTCATCCCAAGGTGAAGAGAACGGCTACTGCACATACTCCACTTTGGTGAAATCAATTATTTGGGTGTGTGAACAGTGGAATTAATTTGGGTGGTTCTTCGCTTCGTTTTTTGTGTTGATTTGGTTCGTTATTTTGGATCTTCTACAACTCTAGTTCTGAAGATTTTTGTTCATCTATTTGGTAAGATCTTTCCTCTTGTTTATTTGTGATTATTTGAAATTCACCTAAGGGTGGTTTGTGAGACTATTCGTGTCTCGTTTGTAATTGTTTGGAAACTTATTTGGTCGATAGTGAAATGGGATTTCGATCCCGTGGACGTACCTCACATTGAGGGAATCACGTAAAAATTCTTGTGTTGCTTTTGATTTAGTTTTTCCTCATTAGTTTTTATTCCCATTGATTGATTTACTTGTGGGGAATCACATATTTTCCCTAACAACTGGTATCAGAGCTTACGGTTTATTTGGGTTTATTTATTTGTGTAAATCAATTGGGGGGAATGTGGGTCGTATGTCTAGCTTCAATGGAAGCAATTGAGTAACTTGGAAAACTAAAATGGAGGACCTATTATTTTGTAAAGATTTGTATGGGCCTATTGAGGGTGATAGTGGCAAACTCGAAGGTATGAAAGATGATGAGTGGAAGAGGCTTAATCGAAAAGTCGTTCGTGTTATCCGTCAATGGATTGATAACAGTGTGTTTCATCATGTTGCTACTGAAACTTCGGCACATGATTTATGGAAAAAATTAGAGAGTCTTTATGACAGAAAATCAGCCACAAATAAAGCCTTTATATTTCTTAAGTTGGTTAATTTAAAATATAAAGATGGCAGCCCTATTTCAGAACATCTGAATGAAATAAAGAGTATTGTTAACCAACTTGCTTCTATGAAAATTATTTTTGATGATGAGTTGCAGGCTTTGATGCTACTTAATTCTTTGCCCGAAAGTTGGGAGACTTTGGTTGTGACCGTCAGTAATTCGGCGCCCGATGGAGTTGTCACAATGGGCCAAGTCACTAGTAGCCTGTTAAATGAAGAAACTAGAAGAAAATCAGCAGGTTCCTCTCATTCAGAAGCATTTGTTGTGAGAGGCCGAAGCAAAACAAGAGGGAGGAGTAAAACTCCTCAAGGTCGTGATCAAAGCCGTGATAAATCAAAAGATGGTTCTTTTTCAAAGAAAGACATTGAGTGTTATTATTGCCACAAGAAAGGGCACATGAAGCGAGAATGCCGAAAGCTCAAGAACAAGGAGAAAATGCGTGAAAAAAGTGTGGATAAGAAACAAGAAGACACAACGACAGTTACTACCGATGATCTCATGGTCGTTTGTGAAGATGATTGTATCAATTTTGTGGGCCAAGAGAGAAATTGGGTGATTGATTCTGGTGCTTCCTTTCATATGACTTCTCGAGTTGATTTCTTCACTACCTACACCGAAGGAGATTATGGTTTTGTTCGAATGGGTAATGAAGGTTTGTCCAAGATTATTGGCATGGGTGATGTTTGCTTGGAAACAAATTTGGGCTGCAAGTTGTTTCTTAAAGATGTGAGGCATGTTCCCGACATTCACCTCAATTTGATCTCTACTGGGAAGTTAGATGATGAAGGCTTCAACAACAAATTTGGTGATGGAATATGGAAGCTCACGAAGGGTTCTTTGGTGGTGGCTAAGTGCAAGAAGACTCATACACTTTATTCGATGCAAGGAAAAATTTGTAAAGGTGTTGTCAATGCACTTGAAGATAATACCTCTACCGAATTTGGCACAAGCGGCTTGGCCATATGAGTGAAAAGGGGCTACAAGTTTTTTTCAAGAAAGAGCTTCTACTCGGTTTGAAAGGTACACATCTCAAAACATGTGTTCATTGTTTGGCGGGTAAACAACATAGAGTTTCTTTTCATAAAAATGTTGCTTCTAGAAAAGAAAATGTTTTGGAGTTGATTTATTCGGATGTTTGTGGTCCTTTAAAAGTTAGAACACATGGTGGTGCACTTTATTTTGTTACTTTCATTGATGATTATTCAAGGAAAGTTTGGGCTTTTCTACTAAAAACTAAAGATCAAGTTCTAGAAGCATTTAAGTTTTTTCAGGCCATGGTTGAAAGAGAAACAGGATAGAAATTGAAGTGCATCCGATCAGACAATGGTGGTGAATACATTGGGCCATTTGATGAGTATTGTCACAGCCAAGGTATTCGGCATCAAAAGACAGTTAAGAAGACTCCTCAACAAAATGGAGTTGCCGAGAGGATGAACCGCACCATTGTGGAAAGAACAAAGTGTTTGCTTTCACAAGCTAAATTGCCAAGATCCTTTTGGGGTGAGGCATTGAAGACAGCAGTTGACGTGATCAATTTGTCTCCTTCCTATCCATTGAATGGTGATGTTCCAGAAAGAGTTTGGACCGGCAAAGATGTGTCTTATGAGCACTTGAAAGTGTTTAGTTGCCGAGCTTTTGTTCACATTCCAAAAGATGAAAGGTCCAAGCTTGATAGTAAGTCATGACAATGTATTTTTCTTGGCTATGGGCGTAATGAATTTAGGTATAGATTGTGGGATCCGGTCGACAAGAAAGTCATTCGAAGCCGTGATGTTGTGTTTATTGAAGACCAAACAATTGAAGACTTTGGCAAAGGTGATCAACCGGAGCCAAAAACTAGTGATCTCATTGACATGGATCCATCTCCTTCATCTTCAGTTGATGATGAAAATGGAGGAGATGTACAGCCACCTATTGAAGATGTAGAGGATGATGCTAATCCTAATAAAGTTGAGCTAGAAATTAAGGAAGAGCATCCAACTCAAGAACTGCCACCACAACTTGAGTTGAGGAAATCTACAAGGGACTGACAACCTTCAAGAAAGTATCCTCCCAATGAATTTGTGTTGATTTCAGATCAAGGGGAGCCTGAGAGCTACTAAGAAGCAATTGAGCATGCAAAGAAAGGTGATTGGAAAAAGACCATGGAAGAGGAGATGAATTCCTTAATTGAAAATCACACCTATGATTTAGTGAAGTTGCCTAAGGGGAGAAAAATTTTGAAAAATAAGTGGGTCTTCAAATTAAAGAATGATGGCAAGAATCTGATGTACAAAGCACGTCTTGTTGTAAAAGGCTTTGGGCAAAAGAAAGGTATTGATTTTGATGAAATTTTCTCGCCAGTTGTGAAGATGTCTTTTATTTGGGTTGTACTTGGCATGGCTGCAAGTATGAACCTTGAAGTTGAGCAACTTGATGTGAAGACCGCATTTCTTCATGGTGACCTTGAAGAAGAAATTTACATGGAGCAACCAGAAGGTTTTGTAGAGAAAGGGAAAGAGAAATTTGTTTGCAAATTGAATAAAAGTTTGTATGGTCTCAAGCAAGCTCCGCGGCAATGGTACAAAAAATTTGACTCTTTCATGATGAATAATAGTTTTTCTAAAACTACTTCGGACCATTGTGTGTTTGTGAAAAAATTTCAGGATGGCAAATTTATTATTTTTTTGCTTTATGTTGATGACATGTTAATTATGGGTCAAGATTCTACCATGATAAACAGGTTGAAATTGGAGTTGAGTAAATCTTTTGCTATGAAAGATTTGGGACCGGCAAAGCAAATACTTGGTATGAAAATTGTTCGTGATCGCAAAGAGGGTCTGATTTGGTTGTCTCAAGAAAGCTACATTGAGAAAGTTCTTGAAAGGTTCGACATGAATAAAGCAAAGCTGGTTGGTTGTTCACTTGCGGGTCACGTCAAGCTTAGTTCGAATCAATGTCCTACAAGTGAGAAAGACAAGGAAGAGATGCTGAAAGTTCCTTATGCTTCAGCAGTTGGTTCTTTGATGTACGCCATGGTTTGTACAAGGCTAGATGTTGCTCACGCCATTGGTGTGGTGAGTCGTTTTCTCTCTAATCCGGGTAAAGAACATTGGGCAGCGGTAAAATGGATTTTAAGGTATCTTCGAGGGACTTCGAAGGTGTGTTTGTGTTTTGGGGATGGTAAGCCGATGCTTGATGGGTTCACAGATTCTGACATGGCCGGTGATGTTGATTCTAGGAAATCTACTTCGGGGTATTTGATGACTTTTGCAGGGGGAGCTATGACATGGCAATCTAAATTACAAAAATGTGTTGCTCTCTCAATTACCAAAGCTAAATTTATTGCCATTATAGAAGCTTGCAAAAAAGAGTTATGGTTGAAGAAATTTTTGCAAGAGTTGGGTTTAAAGCAAGAAAAGTATGTGCTTTATTGTGATAGTCAAAGTGCTATTCACTTGAGTAAAAATTCTACTTTTCATTCAAGATCGAAACAAATTGATGTGAGACACCACTGGATTCGTGATGTGTTAGATTCGAAATTGTTGCAACTCGAAAAGAGTCACACGGATGATAATATTTCGGATATGTTGACTAAGACTTTGTCGAGAGACAAACATTTGAAATGTCGAACTTTGGCGGGTATGGTTGATATCTCCACCTAAGTCGGTAGGGGGAGAATTGTTGGGTATACCTCCTTATTGGAGTGTGGGACCCAATTGATTTTGGAAAAAGAGTTTAATTTGGTTTAGTATTAATTATAATATATTTTTGTATATTATATTTAATTTGTGGAGGCCCAATCAAATTTGAAAACAACTAAGGTTTGATAATAAACTCTAGATTCACAATATTTTAGGGTTTTGTTTTTTTTGCTCATCCCAAGGTGAAGAGAACGGCTGCTACACATACTCCACTTTGGTGAAATCAATTATTTGGGTGTGTGAACAATGGAATTAATTTGGGTGGTTCTTCGCTTCGTTTTTGGTGTTGATTTGGTTCGTTATTTTGGGTCTTCTACAACTCTGGTTCTGAAGATTTTTGTTCATCTATTTGGTGAGCTCTTTCCTCTTGTTTATTTGTGATTATTTGGAATTCACCTAAGGGTGGTTTGTGAGACTATTCGTGTCTCATTTGTAATCGTTTGGAAACTTATTTGGTTGATAGTGGAATCGAATTTCGATCCCGTGGACGTACCTCACATTGAGGGAACCACGTAAAAATTCTTGTGTTGCTTTTGATTTAATTTTTCCGCATTAGTTTTTATTCCCATTGATTGGTTTACTTGTGGGGAATCACATATTTTCCCTAACAGCTCTATGGTCTTCTCCCCAACAGCACAGCCCAGTTTTCTCCTCCTTCCCCATGGAATGTCACCAAAGACCCAAATGCATGTTCATGGAAGGAGGTTACATGCACTTCCAACAATTCTGCCATCACCAATCTCTCTCTCCCTTTTTTCTCTATCTCTTCCCCCCGATTTTCTTGTTTTTCTTTACCAGATTGATACCTTGGAGGTTGTTGATCTCTCCAACAATCACTTGAGCTCAATCCCAGATGAGTTCATGACCGGTTGTGGAAAGATTACTAGGTTGAAACTGTTGAATATTAGTAGGAACAAATTGTCTGGCCCTTTACCCACTTTTAATGGTTTTGCTAAGTTGGAGTCCTTGGACTTGTCTCACAATTCATTGGGTGGACGCATTGATTTACAGCTTGATGGGTTGGTTGGTCTCAAAAGTTTGAACCTTGGCTTCAACCAGTTCATCGGCTCTGTTCCTATGAACATTGGAAAATCCATGGTTTTGGAGGAGCTTGGGCTTTCTGCCAATCACTTTGAAGGTAAATTCCCTGAATCAATTGCGAATTATTCGAAATTAACTACAATTGATCTTAGTTTCAATTACATTTATGGGTCAATCCCTAATAGATTTGGAGAGCTTCTCAATCTGCAACTTTTGATTCTATCTTCTAATAATTTGAGTGGTGGAATCCCAAAATTCCTTTCAACTATCCAAAACCTATGGCGATTCGCGGCCAACCAGAATTCTTTTTCTGGTGTTATTCCAGTTGGGATTACAAAACATCTCAAGAATTTAGACCTTAGTTATAATAAGTTAAATGGGTCAATTCCTGGAGACCTTTTATCCCAATCAAATTTGCAGAGTGTAGATTTATCTTATAATTCATTAAGTGGGCCAATACTTGCAAATATGTCTCCAACCTTGTTGAGGTTGAGATTAGGAAACAATCAATTGAATGGGACAATCCCATCTTCATCTTTTGGAAGCCTTCAAACACTGACCTATTTGGAGTTGGAAAACAATAGTTTGAGTGGGTCAATACCTCCTGAATTGAGTTCGTGCAAGAATTTAGCACTGCTGAATCTTGCTAACAACCACCTCACTGGTGTTTTGCCAGTACAGTTGGGTGTTCTGAACAAACTTCAGGAATTGAAGCTTCAAACCAACAATTTTCTTGGAGAAATCCCAATTCAAATTACCTAATTACAAGCATTGCGGAAACTGAATATCGGCTGGAATTCACTGAACGGTTCGATACCATCTTCAATTTCAAGCTTGCAATCTCTTACCAACTTGGATCTACGAGGCAACAATCTCAGCGGTTCAATAACTGCTTCAATTGGTAACTTGAATTCCCTTTTAAAACTCCAACTAGGGAACAACAAACTCAATGGGACAATTCCGTTGATGCCACAGACTTTGCAGATTGCACTAAATTTAAGCAGCAATCTCTTTGAAGGACCTATACCTAGAACGTTATCAAGATTGTTCAGATTAGATGTGTTGGATCTTTCCAACAACAAATTTTCTAGTCAGATTCCCCAGTTCTTTACATCCGTTACAGTTGATGTATGTGGAAACAAAGGTCTCATTAGCACTACAAATTCAAACTCTCCCTCATTATCTCCAAAACAGAGAAAGACAATGGATGCGGGAGTCCTTTCATTTGCTGCTGGCAGTGCCTTGGGCTTTGTGTTAGTAACAATTATTGTTGTTTTTATTTCCAGGCAAGGAAATGGTGGTTTAGATATCATGGCTTTTGTGGACATGTTGATGGGTTTTGAACGATTCTTAATACAATTTTATAGTGTCAAAGGTCATTGGATAACTGATAATAGCATCCATAAATCAAAGCTTAACTTATCCAAAGCCATGGAGGCAGTTTCCAAACCTGTTAACATGATGCTGAAGAGTGAGTTCTGCACCTACTACAAGGCTGTCATGCCTTGTGGGATGAGTTATTGCATCAAGAAGCTAAATTGGAGCTGTAAGGCATTCCAATTGTTTAACCCTGAGAGGTTTGTTCAAGAGCTAATGGTTTTAGGTAAGCTAAGCAATTCAAATATCATGATCCCTCTAGCTTATACTTTAACAGCTCGTAGCGCATATGTTGTTTACGAAAATCCTCAACATGGAACCCTCTTTGACCTTCTGCATACAAACACACAGCCCAGTTTGCTCCTCCTTCCCCATGGAATGTCACCAAAGACCCAAATCCATGTTCATGGAAGGGTCTACATGGGTGCTCCACTTCAACTGGACCCATAATTCTCCTCCATCTTTCGACGAAAAGTATCCTAATGGAATCACTTTCAAAGCCTCTAATTGGAGATTTTGATCTTGGAAAGGTGATCAAGCCTTCGAAAACCATGGAGACAATCTCTGCTGTAGCTGGTTCAGTTGGGTACATCCCTCCAGGTAATCTGCTTTTTTTTAACTGTCTTTAGTTCAATATGCAGTAAATATTGTTATTATTGATCAAATTTTGAACTTATTGTGTTCGGAGCCTTTTTGTTACATGCAGAATATGCATGCACAATAAAGGTGACTCCATCTGGGAATGTTTACAGTTTTGGAATCGTGATGCTGGAATTATTAACCGGCAGGCCTGCTATAAGTGAAGGAACTAATTTAGCTGAATTGGCACTGACTCGGACTCAGTCAATCCATCACGACAAGTGTAAAGAAATTCTTGATTGTAGACTATTAAGTGATGCATCAAGTGGTGTTCGTGATCAAATGCTTTCACTTCTTAGAATTGCTTTGGGTTGTATTGCCGTCTCACTGGATGAAAGGCCAAATGCAGAAAGCTTGCTTGATATGCTACTTAATGTGGCAACAATTTAGTTTGTAATTAAGGTAATTTAGTAGTATCAAGAGCAGAGTTCACTACCATACCCTGTAACTGATTATTCAATCATAACAATAATAATAATGGTTTATTTGGTTTATACATGCTATTTTGTGGCAACATTAGCTAGAAATTCAGCATGGCCTTGCTTCAATTTTGGCTTTCGACTTGTTTGGAAATGAGAACATACATTACAATGAACAAAGTTTTGATTGTATAATGGGAAAAGTTAGGGATCATGAAATTTTTTTCATGAAAATGATCATGAAAGAGTTATGATCCTTGGATTACCTTAATTAGTGTGTGGTGCTTTATTCTAAGTGTAATTCAAGGGTCACAGAGCTTTCATGATTATTTTCATGAAAAGTTTTTCATGATACCTAACATTGTTGTTGTATAATAAGCTAATAGCATGACTTATACACCTCAGTAGGGCATAGAAACAGAGGAGAGAGAAGACTGATGGGGTAAGATGATTAAGACTTCATTTACTATTGCCAAAGACTTGGCATAAAAACAGAGGAGAGAGAAATAGGCTGGCTTGAAAGAGAGAAGATTGAGTCGGGAGTGTTTTGTGGGGTGAGATGATTAAGACTTCATTTACTATTGCCAAAGACTTGGCATAGAAACAGAGGAGAGAGAAATAGGCTCGTTTTAAAGAGAGAAGACTGGGTGGTGGGGAGTGTTCTATGGGGTGAGATGATTAAGACTTCATTTACTATTGCCAAGACTTGACTGACTAATGTTTTTTTTTTTTTTAAACTAATTAATGTTTTATTTTGTTTGTAAAATTTGTTTTGTTTGTGGAAACATTTGTTCTTAGCGTTTACCGTCATTTATAAACACACTTGTTTTTATGTGGAAATCATTGGCTATAAACAATAATGTTACCAGGGATTTTATGACATAAATGCCCTTTTTTTTAAGTATATCATAGCTAACTTATGATATTTTGTAATCTTATTATTTTTTTTATCTCAGAATTATTTAAGAGTTAATATTTTTGTTATTTAAGATCAATTACCACAACGGTAGGGGTGATTGGAGCGAATGTGGTCTATAGAATTAAGGCATAGTGGCTTAAATAGAAAAGTGTGTCTGGGGTACAGTTTGATAAACGAGTACTCACTAGATTAAAAGGAAAGTTGACTAGCAATATGGGATGGAATGTTGGCAATTAAGAAACATCATGTAGATAAGATGAGTATTGCTGAAATGAATATACTAAGGTGGATATGTGACATGACTAAAAATGACAGAATTAGGAATGAGTATATTCGTAAATGGGTAAGAGTAGTACTAATAGAAGAAAAATTGAGAAAGAATAGATTGAGATAGTTTGGTCATATACAATGGAGGCTAATGGAGGCAGTAGTGAAGAGATCTGATACAGTAACAATAGATGAAAGTATTAGGGGAATGGGCAGACACAGATTGATATGAGTGAATGTAGTAAATAAATATATGAATCTCCCTAATTTGATTAACTAAATGGTCGTTGATAGAGTCGAATGGAGAATAATGATTCATGTAGTTGACTTCATTTGATAAGACTTAAGACTTGATTTGGTTTGTTAACTAAAATCTTTTTTGATCATAGTCGAAAACATTACAATGGATTATAACTAAACATCACGTGCAATATAATTACTAACTAATTTGATTGAATAACAATCAAAATATGTCATAATGTTATATTTATGTTTGGTAACACTTATAAATCAACTTATTTAGCTAAAGATTAAAAAAAGCTAACTAATGATATTTGATTGATCAATTCTGCTACATAGCTCGAGTTTTTTTGTGGCTAGAGTGGCCCGATTTTTTGACTTTTCAACCCCTCTCTATTTCTTCTCTTCTTCTTCTTCTGTTCATCTCTCTGTCTCTCCATCTCTCCATCTGTTCAACAACACAACCAGAACCATCAAACCCAAAAATCTTGGAAATATGGGTTTGAAATCCAAAACCAAACCAATCAAAAATCAAAAACTAGAAACCAAAAATCAAAACCAAACAAATCAAACTCAAAAACCATAAATCAAAACCAAAAAACCCAAAAATCAAAACCAAAACCAGACAAATCAAAACCCAAAAACCAAAACCAATCAAACCAAAACAAATAAATCAAAACAAAGCAAACCCAAAAATTAAAACTAAAAATCAAACCCATAGCCACAAACCAAAACAAATAAATCGAGAAATGAAGATGGAGAGTCCAAGGGAAAGAATGACTTCACCCCTCTACCCACCGACGCCAACATCACCTTCTCTGCGAGCAAACCCATCGCAATCCTCTGTCTTCTCCTTCTCTTCTTCTCTTTTCCTCCTCCTTTTCTCTTTATTCTTCTGTCTCCTTTTTTTTGTCAGTTTGAGAGAGCAAACAGAGGGGGGTGGAAATCACTACCCAAAACGACGTTGTTTTGGGTAGTCGAGTCATTCGGGCCAATAATGTTTTCAAGTTACGAAACATTATTCTTGATTGTAATATTAAATTATAATTTATTTATCCTTTTCAGCTTTATAATTTATTAATAAAATTGATCATTTGTTATACGATTATGAACTTGAAAGTACGTGATATAATTTTTAAAATCACAAATGATAATTTGTATTTTAAACAAATTTTAAAAAGAGTAATTATAATTTATCTCAAAATAATAATAATAAATTTTAAATGACATAAAAGTCAAGAATATTTATCAGTAGTAATGAGTCCAGTCAACTCTCCACAAAATAATGACATAAAAATCAAGAATATTTATCTGTAGTAATGAGTCCAGTCAACTCTCCCCCAACAAGACGCTCCAACATTCTCCGGTCTCTAAAACGCAATATTTTCTCTCTCCAGTTTTTCTAAATCTTTTCTCTTTTCGTTACTACCTTTAGTAGGTGTTTGTGGTCAATTATTTTAGTTTTTTTTTTTTTTTGTCATTTTTAATAAAAATTTTGTAAAAAAATTTATATTTTTAGATTCTACTCAACTAAACAAAAAAGGTAATATATGTATATATATAAATTGGAAAAAAAAATCTAGAAAAGACAAAAAGTAAAAAACAAAATTATTTTGATTCTGTAGTGAACTTTTTTTTTCTTTCAATTTTTTAGATTAACCTACACAAGATTGGACAAAGTAAAAAAATTGACATAGTTTTTAAAAAATATTACCAAAGATAATTCATAAAAATGTGATTTTTTTTAGTTGTGTGCTAAACAACCCTTGAGTAGCTATGGTGACTCATGAGGTTTTGACTGCTTTATGATGTGTTTGATTCATAGATTTTGATAGAGATTTAAAAAAAGAAATAAAAAATATATGTAAAATATAAATGAAATATAATTAAAATTTACCTATATTTCTCACATTTTTTTTTCTTTTTCTTTTCAAATTTCTTCCTAATTTTATTAACCAAACATAATCTTACTAGTCAAACTAATGTAATGTAATGATAACACATAAAAATAATTTACGATCTAAAAATATAATCATTGTATTATTATTACATCATACATATTGTATGACGATAATGTTTAAATATTTTAAAATAAACTTTTAAAAATATTTCTGAGAAGATAAATTAGTTTTCAATTAATTATTATTTTTTAAAAAAAAACATCCAAAAGAAAGATATAAAGTACATAAAAGTGGGGTCCAACTACAGTACATGAAAGAGATTTTCATGTACCATATAAAAAAGTGGTACTCTAATAAAATGGTGAATCATCGGGAGTCATCGGTTTTACCGGTGGTATGATGTGATTTGACCATTTTTTTCTTTTTTTTAGAACTAGTAGGTAGGGGTGTAAAAATGGGTCATGGCCCGTGGGTGGTCCAAAGTCCGCCTGTAGCCTAGAGTAGGCCCGGTCCGGTTAGGCTTCGGCCCGAACCCAACTTGGGACCCTATGCTTGAGCCCAACCCATCGGCCACTCGATCCAGCCCGTAGCCCAACCCATCGGCCGTTTAAGGCCCACTCAAAACCTGGTCCGAGACCCTATCCGCCCAAGGCCCAAGGTCATTTTTGGTGAAAAAGAATAAAATTTTAGTGGAAAAAATAAAAAAAAATTTAAAACAAATGTTCAGACCGACCTAGGCCCAAGCCCAAGCCTAGGCCGGTCGTCCCGGCCCGAGGCCTACCTGAGGCCTAAATACCCCTGGGCCTGAGCCTAATTTTTTGGCTCGTGGGTCAGGCCAACCCAGCCCGAATTTTAGTGGGAGCACGCACGACCCACATGGGCCGCCCTAGGTCAAATTTACACCCTTACTAACAGGTGATATGGAGAAGTTATTTGGTGATCATGGGGCATGGTTACGTGATGCCCTAGATGTGTTATTTTTAGTGGAAGAGGTGGGGTCTATAATTTTGTATTAGGTGATTGAGAAATAATAAAGATATGGTGATTTCTGATTGATAAGGGATA